TGTTGCTGCATTTCCAGTTTGGCCAGCCGGGTCTGGTAGGAGTCCAGGACCTCCTGCCAAAGCCACAAGGAGAAGGTGGGTCAGGACCAGTCTAGCTGCCAGGTCATCTGTCTCCACTGTTGATGCCAGCCTCCAGGTGGGACCTGGAGACACACACACCCCGGAATTACAGCGCATCTCCAGACTACGGAGAACAGTTCCCCCTGGAGAAAAAGGGACGCTTCGGAGGGGGTGGGCTCTGTGGCACTGTGCCCCACTGAAGCCTCTGTCCTCCCCAGGCTCCATCTCCAGGAGTTTCCCGACCTGGATCTGGCAACCCTCTCCTTCCACTCCCCACCCCGGTCAGTGGCTAGGGGGGACCTGGCAACCCTGGTCTCCACAATGGTTGAACCCTGTCTCGGCTAACCCTGAGTGGGTTTCCACATCTATGTAGAGCAGACAGGTTTCCTAGTATTGGCAATGACCATGTGACAGCCGCATGCCTGGACGCTTCCGTCATGAGCAGATCGTCTTTCCACACGCGAGAGAGAAATGTGTCTCCTGAGGAGGGTATCCGAGTGTGATCGATGAGAGCATCGGGTGTGTGTGTGTGTGAATTCTACTAGGGCTGCCAACTCCAGGTTGGGGAATACCTCGAGATTATGGGGTGGAGCCTGAGGAGACGGGATTTGAGTAGGGGAAGGACCTCAGCAGGACATATTGTCATAGGTCCTTTCCGCACTTGGATCTCATCTCTGGTTTGATCAGAGTTCAACTCGCGACACAATACCTTGCACTTATCCCTGGTTATAACAGCATCCGTTTATCCCGGGACAAGTGTGGGGCAATGTTCCCTCTAAGCTGTGGAGTCTTGTGAGCAAAAAGCCTACTTTGTGAGCTACTGGCATTGAAGTTGTGAGCCAGTGATTTGGCTGCTGCATAAATTAGCTTGCTCTGGAGCCATCCTTCCTGAGCGAAGACAAAAATGTGTGAGCCACACTAACTCAGCTTAGAGGGAACACTGGTGTGGGGTGAAACCGGGGTGACCTCAGTGTAAGGTGGAAACAAAAAATACCCCAAGATAATTACAGGGGTGAACTCGAGTGTAGTGTAGAATGTGAAAATACCCCGAGATAATTACAGGGGTGAACTCGAGTGTAGTGTAGAATGTAAGTTCAGGGACAGTGTTAAACCAGGATTTAAGGTCTAGTGCGGAATCACCCGTAGTGTCCACTCTCCAAAACCGGCCTTCTCCTCCAGGGGAACTGATCTCTTGTCAGCAGGAGATCAGTTGTAATTCAGGGGGATCTGCAGGCCCCACCTGGAGGTTACACAATAGAAAAAATGGGAAACTCGGGGCAAAAGCTGTCTACAAAAGAACCCACTGTACATAAAGGCTTACATAAAATTATTCAACAGTAATCGGCAATAAAGCGTAATAGAATATATTGAAATACGTGTTGTTTTTTACAATTATATATCAATCCAAAATGCAAGGATATGTACTGTGGGAGGGCTTCTCGTGTCCTGGCCCCACTGCTGGACCTCCTGATGGCACCTGGTATTTTTGGCCACCGTGTGACCCCGAATGTTGGACTGGATGGGCCATAGTAGGCGTAATCTTCGTGGGGGCGGCGGGGCTTCAGCCCCCGCCAAAATTTTCAGGAAGGTGCTCAGCCTCCCCCGGGGGCCACCCTTGCTCCTAGCATAGCAATGCCTCTGGCCCAGCCCCAGCCCCCCTTGGAAAGTCTACACCCCATGATTGGCCTGATCCAACACTG